TTTCATATGCATTATTTCGTATGCACAGTTTCCATATGCACAATTTCAGGGTGCCATTTTATTCCTTAAAATGATCAATATTTGTTGAATTTATATAAAATCGGTCCACGATAATATTTCTATTGCTCCAAAGAATCTATATCCCGAAAATGAAAGTTATATCTGCAAGTGATAAGCCGCTGGAGCACTTTAAAGGCTCCAAAATTGACCCCAAAATAAGCCAATGTTTACTTTTCTTTTCCGACAGAAACCGAATGGGTTACTTACAAAAATGAATCTGTCGATAGGTTTGGAATTTTATCTTTGAAAGGCCACACTTTTCTTTGAAATCGCTTCATTAGTTCTCGTGCAATAAGCGTTTTCGTGAAGCTCTAAAAATTACAACTACAACATTTAAGCATATCCTCCATATCGAAACGTAAGACGTATTCTACGTCAAAACTTGTTGTTTCACGCTTAACCAATTCAAGGTTTCAAACATACATCTTGTTGGTGTGTCGTACGGTTTGTTAAGGATGAATCTCATCGCTGGGTTTTGCATTTTTTGCAGCTTATCTATATGCGTGTTGTTGCGAGTGCTGATGCAGGTATACCAAACTGATGTGCGGGTTGCTTTTCGAATTAAAGAAACGCGGTTTCAAATATAAATTCTATTTATTTACTAATATTTTGTATAAATTTCTTCGATAAATATGAGGGCGAACTTGCGGTCAGTTGAGTCGAATGTCAAAAAGACGATTGCTTGTTAACCCTTGGAATGGTGCATGAGTATTAACCCCCACATATTACAATAGCGAATACCTACTTAAAAAATACGAAGTCGAACCCAACATGCCGCCGCCCTTGAACTATCTTCATATGATATGTTCAAATTAAGTTTACAATGAAATTTTGGTCAAAACATATTAAGTGTGAAAAAAATCTTTAACATAATTTGGTTCTTATACTATGAGTCTCTATCTTCGCAAAATAAATCCCCTTTCGTAGGAAGAAGGCACAATTTAGCTATTGGCCGGATGGATTCTCCATAAGATGTCTTCACGGTTACGATTCGCACGTGACCATCAGCTCCAGGATGGCATCGAATGACCCTTGCGAGTATCCACTTTGTCGGGGGAGTAGGCTCGTTGAAGACAGCTACAACATCTCCTTCTGCGAAGTTGCGTGGCGGTCGAAACCACTTGGTTCGACGTTGCAAACTGACGAGATACTCGTCTCTCCAACGACGCCAGAAGTGCCGTCTTATTGCAGAGTTTAACCGCCATCGCTGGTGGAGATGTCCACCGAACCCTTGACCCTCAGGTTCTGGGATCGACCTAAGCGGTTCACCGACGATAAAGTGCCCTGGTGTCAGAGCTTCGGGGTCGACTGCACTTGTTGTGCTCTCACATAACGGGCGAGAGTTCACGCAGGCTTCCACTTCTGTCAATAAAGTGCGGAATTCTTCGTACGACAGCAGAGTTTGAGAAAGGAAGACGACGATAAGTCTGCTACGAGTTCTAGATGCATTGCGCCAGTACACATGCAAATGAACGAACATATATAGCCTTTCGTAGATTACGCCCCCCTTCCATGCGTGAACTTGTACATATACGGGCCTGCGAAGTCCACCGCAGTACGTGTGAAGCAGCGATCGTAGGTAGTGCGGGACGCAGGTAGGTCACCCTTCGATTGTGTAGAGGCATTGCGGTTTAAACAGGTTCACTTTACGCATTTATGATAAATGCCCCGAATCAAGCTGCGGGCGCCAATCACCCAGTGGCGACGTTGCAATACGACCTGCATTATGATGAATGTCGGGTATTATTAGCCTTGATAGCGGAGAATTTTTAGGCAAGATAATGGGATGCCTAACATCGTGCGCGACATCTGCGGACTTCAATCGCCCACCTACCCGAAGAACACCTTTCGGGTCAAGAAACGGCTGCAAGCGCAACAGGCTACTGCGTAGCGGGATTGGCCTTTTTGCGCTGCATAGTAAAAGTGTTGTGTATACTTAATCAAGCGTAATTCGGCTTCGTATAACTCCACACAGCTTAGAGGACCATGTCGTTTTTCAGCAGAGCGTTTAGTAGCGGGACGGATGCTGACAATGAATCTTAGAGCGTAAGCGATGATGCGGCGCAGCTTGGAATACGAGGAATATTTCGTGAGTACCAACCACTGGTCGCCCGAATTCACATGGGCGACAACTTTGTTTCGAATGCCCAATTCGGTTATATGGTGTTTCGAGGAGGTTAGTTTCCAGAACTGATCAGTACCCTTTAAAAAATCAGGATCGGTCCACCACAATTGCTGACACAGTAGCTCGGCAGGGGATATACCTCTAGAAGCACAGTCGGCTGGATTCAACTCAGAGCGAATATGATTCCAGCACTCAGGCGGCAGAATTTCTTGGATGTCGGCAACGCGGTTGGCGATGAAAGTCATCCATCTGCTGGGATGCGCTTGTAGCCATGCCAATGTTATGGTTGAATCCGTCCAGGCATACACCGGGTAGCGGGGATCGCACCAACTGTGAAAAACGCTTCGCACCAGTTTAGAAGCGAGATGCGCAGCGCAAAGCTCTAGGCGCGGCAGCGTCGTCGTTTTAAGCGGCTCCACCTTGGTCTTTGAAGAGACCAGTGAGTTACAGTGATCCTGCCGTCGTTTTGCAAAGTGCGCGCGTATATAACGGCGGCGTAAGCGCGTTCGGAAGCGTCAGCAAATACATGCAGCTGCGTGAACGATCCAACCGTTCTGCCTTCAAATCTGAAAGTATCTGCAGCTGAAAGCGATGATAAATCCACTTTTTCGCGATTGAGTCTGGTACAAGATCATCCCATCCAACCGCGGAACGCCAAATATCCTGGAACCACATCTTGGACCTTATGGTTACAGCAGCAAGCAGACCCAGAGGATCAAAAAGAGTGCTAGCATCGGCTAAGAATGCTCTCTTGGTTAGAATAGCAAGTTGTTGTTTCAGGCGGACTGCGAATGTTAAGTGATCTCCTTCTATGTTCCATATTAGACCAAGAGTACGAACATCCTTACCATCTACTACGTAGTGCGATATGTTTTTAGAAGCGCCGGAAATACGCTCGTTGAACTCCATGCAGTTTGATGCCCACTTTCGCAGTTCAAAGCCTCCTTTTAAAATTTCAGAGATATTTTGTTGTAGTGACTGAAGTTGGGCTTTGCAAGACGCACTAGTGAGCAAGTCGTCCATGTAGAAGTCCTTGGGGATCACGGATACGGCTTTTTCACAACTGTTGCGGGAAGCCTTGGCAGTTTGTTGCAAGGACTTTACGGCAGCCACCCCATAAGTTACTCGTAGCATGCGGTAATCTACAATGGGCGAGGATGGATCAGGGCGCCAAACGATACGTTGCAAATCGACGTGCTTCGACGATACACAAACTTGGCGGTACATCTTTGCAACATCGGCGGTTATTGCGTACCGATGCGTTCGGAAAAGCATCAGTAGAGTAGAGATCTTGTTGGAGTTGCGGTCCAATAAACAGCGCGTCGTTAAGCGAGTTCCCTGTGGTGGTTTTAGCAGAGGCGTTAAAAACGACACTTTGCTCCGTCGTAACACTGGACTCTTTTATCACTGGGTGATGCGGCATATAATACGCGTTATTCGCCGTCTGGGATACAGCTTCCATACAGTGATCGGACTACTACCACATTGTGCTAGATCTGCCACTTATTTGAGCATCTACCACACAAGGTCTGAAATCTACCACATATTCGCGTTTTTGAGTAGTTTTATTTTTACTCGATATAATTTTCTTAATTTTAGCAGCAAAAATTGTCCAACACTAAACACTAACAACACGCAGAATGGGAGGATAAAATAACCATTAAAATAGTAAATTTGCTCTATATTCAATTTTTCGACAGGAAACAGGGTTTTATTGTGTTAAATTGCAAAATGTATGATTTACAAAAAAGAATTAATAGCGAAAATGTTAAAAAAAGCTGCGATTTTTGTGAAAGTATTAGAAATTTCAGTGCATCTAAAGTTTCTAAAGCGTTGTTTACTTTTACTTGAGAATTGAGTGGCGGTTTCTGGAACGTGCCACATTGGTCCGCTACATCGTGATGTGATAATAAATAATATAAAAAAAAACTTTTTAATATACAACGCTTTTATAAATGGACTAAAAAGTAGAAAATAATATTTCTCAGTCCCATAGAATTTGTTTGAAATTTTAGCAAAAGTCGTTATAACCAATTTTTGAGATTGAAAATGAAAAGCGTGGGGCCCTATGCACTAGACTTTTTTATAGGAACTTTGCAAAGCAAAGGTTTTATGGTGTCGGACACACAACATTGAAAGTTTCTGGATCCACAACATTGAAAGTTTCTGGAGCCACAACATTGCAAGTTGATAAAAGCGTTGTAAAAAGAAAAGCGGACAGCACTCCGCAAGGTTGCAGAAATCTTTCAAAATATGTTCGAAAAATATCTTGATATGGAAGAACTGCTTTACACTGTCAAGGAAAAAAAATGCCAAAGCTTAACGCAATTTTTAGGAACTTCAATCTTGCACTTTATTAAACTAAAATTAATTTTTTTTAGAGTATAATTAAAAAGTTTGCCATTTAGGTGAAACCTTGCAGATTTTTTTTTAATTTTTGTACAAAGTTTGATCCAAAACCTGAGATCTACCACATTTTTTTTGAAATCTACCCAATTTTTTCCAGATTCTACCACACAATTTTTTTTCAAGTCCGATCACTGCTTCCATATGACCCATCTCAATAAGCTCATGCATGAAATCGTTGTAAGGCGATAGCAAGTCGTTGTCACGAGCCAGCCTTCGCTCGATGCGTAACAGATTGCGAACAGCGAAATTTCGCGATTCACCCAATGGCACATTTGGTTTCAGCGGTAACTCCACTACAAAGCGACCGTCCGGCATTCGTTGATGCGTAGAAACGAAGTGATCTTCGCAGAAGCGCTCCTCGTGCGTAAAATGCAGCTTTCGCGCTGACTCTTCCAACTCCCACAACCTAGTAAGCGCCCGATCCAGTTGAACATCGCAATGCAGTGGCGGTAAATGCAGGGGGCGTTGAAGCAGAACTGTCGACACTTCCGAACAAGGTCCACCCGAAAACGGTTTTCTGTGCCATAGGCGTGCCAGTTGGACCCTTCCGAAGATCGATGCAGATAAGTTGATCCATCGCGTCCATGCCAACCAGTATATCTATGCGGCCAGGCTTCATAAAATGCGGGTCCGCTAGGAATAGCCCATGAATATGCGGCCATTCTGGAACATTTAAAGACCGCATTGGCAAATCACTAGTGATTTTCTTAAGAATCAATGCATTGATGGCGTAGCATTCATCCCACCTATAGGATGAAAGTGAGGGTAACGTCTCACCCCTACAGCGACCTCCTTGCGATGCACCGATTCCAGTGACGAATACCGACGACGATTTGCGAGGTAGGCCCGAGCGCTGCACGCATGCCTCTGTCACGAAGGAGGCGTGAGATCCAGAATCAAACAATAACCGAGCAGTCTGCCACTGACCGGCAAAATCACGAACTCTTACTAAAGCGGTCGATAATAAGACTATTCTTTGCGTTGAGGGTAGCGGGCTAGAACCAGAACTCAAACAGGATGAAATGCATGCAGCAGCGGTGTTCGTCAGTTGGTTAGCAGAAGAAGCGGTGGTGGTATTCGGAGCGGTGCGAGTAGACTCGATGACGTGACTGAATGCGGTGCTAGTGGTTGGGCCTGCGATATTGTGAAGCAGCGTATGATGACGTTGGTGACATATTCGGCACGCGGATGTGTTATTACAACGCTCTTTGTAATGCCCGTGACTCAAGCAATTTAGACAAGCTTTCGCTTCTTTTATACATTTAGATTTTGCCGTTGAATCTAAACTGTGAAATTTTTCACAAGAATAAATCTTGTGAGCCGCATTGCAGTACATGCAGCGCGAGTGGTTCTGTTCCGGTATCGCGTGAAACACCTCGGCTGATTTGCGTGTTGATTTGGGCATAGTCGAATGGCTCATGGGTATCTGAGCAGCGGGCGTAGTAAGCATAGCTAATGAGCGACATCTTACCTCCAAAAAAGTTGTCAGTTCAAACGTCGGCGGCGCTTTACTAATTAGTGATAGCTCCCACTGCTTTCGAGTTTCAAACGCGAGCTTGTTGACCACTTCATGCGCCAGCCAATCGTCCCAGAACTCTACGGGGCGACCCAATGCCTTGAGCTCTCGAATATTTGTTGAATTGCATCGAGAACACTTAATGACATCGGCGGTGTCACTTGTAGCCGTGCGTATGTCAGCTATCGCCCTGAGGTGTGCTTCAACCATGACTCCCATGACTTTGTAGCGGGACTTAAGCAGGTTCCAAGCCTCTGTGTAGTTAGCGTCGCTGATCTTGAAGCCACTAATAATGCTAAGTGCATCTCCCTTTAAGCAACTACGCAAATAGTGGAGCTTTTGTCCGTCCGACAAGGCAGTGTTTGCTTCAACCAATGAATAAAACGAATCATAAAAAGATATCCACTCCGTGGAATCACCAGCAAACGCACGATTGAGAGAATACAAAGGTTGCGCCGATCTCGGACCGCTATTCCTCTCTTAACGAATTTGACAGAATCGTTGTTTGCATGACGTCACACTGGTGCAACTTGTTTACGTTTTCCTTGCAACATTTTTTCTTCTTCTTCCATTCTTGCTCACGTTTTGGCATTTCTCTCTCGCAATTGCACCAGTGTGACGTCACACAAAAGTTATTCTCAAAAATCCTCTCTGATCGGCGCAATCTTGTATTCTATCATTCTTGAGCAAACGTGGGTAGGTCCATTTTTGGCAATCGTATTGCTGCAGACACGGACACTGATGTAGCTGCGGGTTGTGTTGCCGGTTCCATACGAACCTTCTGGACACGTTTGAAGTTGGCCAAGGCATTAGCATACCAAGTTTCGCCTTGCACGCGAGCATTTTCCTCTACTTCAGCGTTGTCGAGTCCACTAGATGTTGCGACTGCATCTTGGGCAGTGTTGAAACGGGCCCATTGCTCATTGAGGAGTTTCAAATAGCTTACAACGCTTTCGAAGTCCATGGCAAATGCATCGTCTATGCTTTTTGTCATGTACCTCTTAATGGCGTTTAGTGCCGAATCGCGGGTTTTCACAGACGCAGACATTCATAACCAGGGAACGGATTTTTAGGACCTAAAAACCTATAAAAAAAGGCAAAATAAAATAACGAAATAGGCTGGAAAAGGCAAAATAAAATAGTGAAAAAGGAAGGAAAAGGCACTAGGTGTTGCAAAAAAGGCAAAAAAAGGCAGAACGAAATAACGGAAAAGGCAGGAAAAGGCACTAAAAAAAGACAGAAAATACGAAAAACAATCAAAAAATACATTTATTTTAGAAATGTTTATATTATAAGTAAAAAGAGAAAAACTATGAAATAGTTTCATTATATGAAAAATTTGTACTTTGAATATTTGACTATTTTATCCTTTCGAGTTTCTAACTCATAAAAGTTTAATCTGTATAGTTGTAGTAACATTGAACCACAAGATGCATTTTGAAGTTTGGCAGCATTTTCATTCGATTTTCGAAAGAAAAGCCTTGAATGTACTAGATGTGTGCTCGACGTAAGTTGATACAAGCGGCGCCCAATTTAAACATGGAACGTTTGAAACGTTCATATTATCAGGAATAAGGGCGTTTTCCTCGCCCTTTACAATTTTATCTACACCCCTTATTGTCTCCAAGCCTTCGTTAGCTGAGAAAACGGCATTGAATTTTTCCAACACCAATTTGGCAAGAGGTCTCTGCGCTTCTATAAGCCGCATGGGCAATGTGTATATTTTTTAATCTTAAAAAAAAATTGTAAATGCTATAATCACTTTTTTAAAGGTAGAAAAGGCAAAAAAAGGCAAATATCTTAAAAAAGGCAAATATCTTAAAAAAGGCAACATCAAATGTGTATATATGGAATCAGGGAAAGCTAAATCGTGGACATTCTTAATCGAATATGCTCTATCTCGTTAGCAGAAAAAAGGCAATTTCCATAAAATCCGTTCCCTGTTCATAACTTTGCTTCAGGGGTCGTTGAAGGTGAATGTTGTACAAGTACGTTGCTTGCAGAGGGCAAATGAAAGGCGCGAATGATCGACAAAGAGATATGCAATGTCAAATGTAAGGCAATTTGCAGAGGGCAAATAAAAGTCACTGTGGGTTGTCGGGATTGTACAATTTCAAGTGTAGGGCAACTTGAATTCGATGCACACTTTTCCTATATATCTATGTACGTAAATGCTGCACAATAAAAGTTCTTATTTAAGCGCAAAATATTTGTTTTTATAAGTTTTTGTAGCGGGGGACACTCGGTCAATTATAATGAAAATTACAGCTTATACTTGCACACGTTGTGAGCGAGTGGGCAATCCGGCTCGGAAGGACCAGTTTGTTGTTGCGGTTTACTTCCAAACAAGTGCTGATGCAGGTATACCAAAGCTGATGTGCGGGTTGCTTTTCGAATTAAAGAAACGCGGTTTCAAATATAAATTCTATTTATTTACTAATATTTTGTATAAATTTCTTCGATAAATATGCGGGCGAACTTGCGGTCAGTTGAGTCGAGAGATAGCGAATGAAAAAACCAAAAACGGAAAAAAGAGAATAGCAAAATGTCAAAAAGACGATTGCTCGTAAACCCTTGGAATGGTGCATGAGTATTAACCCTCACACATTACAATATTGAATACCTACTTAAAAAATACAAAGTCGAATCCAACAATGCGAGTCCCCCGCTAGGAAGAAAATCGGGCAGTATATAAAGTGGGATTCTACCCCCTGTACACCAATGTCTTTTTTAAGGCCAATGTTTTTAGCAATCTTGTTGACTGTATACTCAACGTGCTCATCAAACTTTAGTTTGTTGTCGATGTATATTCCTAGGTACTTGACACTTTTCACCTCTTCGATGTTTTCATCTTTGATTTTTAATTCACGGCTTAAGGAGTTAACATTTGCCGCTCTGGACAATACCATAAAGTTTGTCTTTTTCACTTTTAGTTTGAGTTTATTTGAACACAGCCATTGATACAAAGAATTAAGATCTTCTTGATTCTTTTGGCAATCGCATTTGGTAGTACCCTATCACTGATCGTTAACAATGTATTTAGCTTATCCAACATTCGGACTCTATCAATTGTTTCAAATGCTCTTTTAAGATCAATAAACACTGCTACCACATTAAGGTGGCAGTTAAGATCTTCTTTACATTGAGATAGCACCAGATTCAGAATGTTTAGCTCTGAATCCAGATTGTTCTTTTATGAGTATTTTATTGGATTCTACATAGTACTGTAGCTGGTGTAGCGATTCCTAGCATTTTTTCCAAACTAGGGAGAGCTTTATCCGTTTTTTTAACTTTCTTAACGGGCACTATTGACGAAATTTTCCATTCTTCCGGTCCTGATCCTGTTTGGAGACTCTAATTTATTAGTAGGGCATAGAAATATCCCATATAATCAGCAGAGTCCTTAATAATACCTTCAGATAGTAGGTTGTTTTCCCCAATTTTACGCTTAAATTTTTTGGCAATTTGAAGAAAGTCTTCCGTTGAAACCTCTTCAAATTTTAGCGTACTTGTGGAAGTTCCTTGCTCGAAATAGTCCTAGTTTAGACACTCTATTGTGGTATGTATTTCCAAAATGCTGTCCACGAAAAAATTATTTAAGTTTTCCGCAATTTCAAAGCTGTCTACGTAGTTGGTGTTATTTATTATCACTTCTCCAATATTTTCTTTGACCCCCGTGTTATTGCCGACCTCCTTTAAGTATTTCCACATGAGTCGGCGGTCACCCTTATTTATTTAAACCTTATGCTCTAAGTATTTAATTTTTTTTACACCATACCAGTTTTTTATACCTGCTTATCACCATATTATATTCACCCCAGTGCCCTGACAACACTGCTTTCTCATGGGAGTTAGATTTATACTTGTTCATCTCTATCAATTGCCTATCATACCATTTGTTCCTCTGTTAAATGCGAGTTATTTTTGAGTAAGTCAACTGGATCATGGACCACAAAATGCAATGAGTAATATACTCCAGCATACTGTCAGCATCGAATAAACTTAAGCTCGAGAAATCGCACTGCCTTAGTAAACTTGTTAAGTTCTCAGGGTTATATCTCTCCCAGGATATTACTTCTTCCTCCTTAGAAAGTGGGTTTAGCTTACTGACATTGAGTCGAAACATTTTTGTTTCGTGGTCTTATATTCTATGATCCTCGACCTTTCGCATAAAATTCGAATGCGTTCAACTAATTAGCAACGAAATTCAAAATGATATTGTTTGCAAATTATGTTTATTTATTTATTTTTAATAATTTTCGTTTTTGTTATTTTTATGGCCTTATAACAATTATATTCAACAATTTTTATGAGCTCGAGGCCGTTTTCAGTGAAAAATTATTGTGGAAAAGCAACAATAATTTGAAAAAATGGTAGAAGTGATAGCTATTTCGGAAATCACCACATTTCCTCATCAGACTTCTTTCAGTAGTATTCGAACCGACGATCACCACTGACTCAGCCAGTTTGCCTACGCACTGTGCTAAGTTTGCCTGGTTAATTCTTGTTACTTATTTCCACTATTTCACTTTGCTAAGCCAACTGCAATCAAGCATTCACTTGGTCATGGGTTGTTGGTTTTGTTGGGTTTTGTTAATATTTCTATTATTAGAATGTTTAACTTTTAGGTGTGCTCGCCTTTAAGTTATTTGCTTTTGTTATTTTTATGGCCTTATAACAATTATATTCAACAATTTTTATGAGCTTGAGGCCGTTTTTAGTGAAAACTTATTGTGGAAAAGCAACAATAATTTGAAAAAACGGTAGAAGTGATAGCTGTTTCGGAAATCACCACATTTCCTCATCAGACTTCTTTCAGTAGGACTCGAACCGACGATCACCACTGACTCAGCCAGTTGCCTACGCACTGTGCTAAGTTTGCCTTGTTAATTCTTGTTGCTTATTTCCACTATTTCTCTTTGCTAAGCCAACTACAATCAAGCGCAGCTATTCCGCTGCAATTCACTTGATCATGTGGTTGTTGGTTTTGTTGGCTTTTGTTAATATTTATATTACTAGAATGTTTAACTCTACCATTTTTTTCAAATTATTATTGCTTTTCCATAATAGGTTTTCACTAAAAACAGCCTCTAGCTCATAAAAGTTGTTGAATATAATTGTTATAAGGCCATAAAAATAACAAAAGCAAATAACTTAAGGACGAGCACTCCTAAAAGTTACAACATTCTAATAATATAAATAATAACAAA